TCCGTTTCCATCCTGTGGATCCAAATGCAGTGCTGGACACGGTGGGCACATCTTCTGTCTTAAAATCAGCTGCTCCCTGACTTCCGGGCGCTTCGCTAGCACATGTTTTCTAGGCGGTTTCTGACTCCCCAGCCCTCCTTCCTTCTCCTCTGCAGCACACCTTCAGGGCACGAGTACCTGGGCTTCTGTCAATCACTTTGACAAAACCAGCCTGACTGTGCGTTCGCAGGTCTGTGCCTTGGCCCAGACCTCTCTCAAGGAAAGAAAGAGCGTGCATGTATACTTCATGCTTCATAATTCTCAGATTGCTGTGTAAACTTGGTAGTTATTTCCAACGGTTGTGTAATGTTATGGTAAGTGACTGTGCCATAATGAGCCCGACCATTTTCCTATTGAAAATTACTTGTCCTGAATTTCCACTTACGGTTTGCGATTCCACAACATATATTGATTTGGAGGTTTGGTGGAATGGAAAGCAGAGAACTGTTTTCCTCTCAAACTAGCTTGGCATTCCCACATCAAGACAGGAGGCTCCGCAGCATCTTTGGCTTCCTCAAGTCAGCTAAGAGGCTCCTGTCACTCTCCGAGTTCTGGGCAAACTACTGATAAAGCTTGTCATGCTCCGTGCTCCACCTCAGCTCTCGATTCCCTGACTCCAACTGCTCTGCACTGCTGGAGGAGAAGTACTTCTTATGTCCCCAGGGCCTGAGGGTTCTAAAGGTTTTCACACTGTGTATCTGAGTAAATTTGAAGAAAGCCTTGCCGTGAGTCCAAGCAGGGTTCACCCACACCTTGAGCTGCAGCTTCCCTACCTGCTACCCACCTTAAGAGTGTTCTTTGTCACTCCTGGCAACCCAGAGGCTTCCTGAGCCAGGGACCGTGCTGCGTCTTGATCTGTGGTCATCTGGAGTGGCCCTGGGACCAGGGAGCAGTGCTGTTGTCCACTCTGTGTTGCTTTTCTCTTCAGAAGTGAGGGTGCACACGATCAGGCTGTGGAGGGAGCCTGGGAACTTGGGCTTATGTTTCCCCAGCTTTTCTGCTCTGGAAGCCCCAGCTTTGGGGGCTCTGCAAACCCCCAAAGTTCGTAATTCTGAAGGTGGCAACACTGCCAATTTGGATCCCTTTCTTGGGTGATTTGCGTCTGCTGAAGGAGCCTGTGTTTGGATTTTTGACCTGTTTGTGCCTCAGTCTCTGCCTGTTGTTCAGCCACACTGGTGAGGACATCTGCAGCAGTTGGCCGACTTGCTTTTGAATCCTTCCCTTTCCAGCTGGACTGCACATTACCCCTGTGTAAGCAAAGGGGTTGCTTCATCCCCGATGTGCACCAAGCACATCCGGCATGGGTGGGGTAAAAAGCCAGTGTTTTGGAATCATGGCATGGTTGGGAGCAGCTTCCTTGCTGAGAGTAGCCTGTGCACGGGCTGGTGGGTGGTGAGCACAGTAAACAGCCGCCATCTTGGCATCCTGGGGCTGTCTCCACACTCATCTCGGGGTCTTCCTTTGTTTCTCTTTGCTCACACTAATGTATTTCCCTCACAGTCCACAAAGAAACAGGTTGCCTTTAGAACCGGAAAAGTGCAGACACAAAGGCAGCAGCTGTTCCTCTTCAGCCCCACACAGTTGCATTTGTGCCTCGGGTACCCTGCCGTACACATGCTCTGAACTCCAGGGCGGGGTGACTGTGGTCCAGGTGTTGTGAATGGAGCTGCCGAGTGTGATGGCCAGACCAAGGCTTATTGTCGATGAGTGATAGTCACTCCAGCTACTCTTAAATTGATTTGAAATTAATCAAGATTCAGGTGAGTTTTTAAAACACCATTCTTTGAAAACCCAAGGGTCTGCCACCTTCTACTGTAGGACATTGGTACCCAAGAGAGAGGTTTGTCTAATTTCTAGCCAGACAAGACACCCTCTTTGAGCATTGCAATGACAATCAAGGAATGGAGAGGAGACATCAGCAGAGGCGGCAGCCTGCCCCACTCCACCTCTGAATGGCAGGGTGATGCTCACCTACGTGGGCCTGGCCCCTTCCTCTGATTGAAGCTCTCAAACCTGTACCATCCTCTCGGGTCCCAACACCCCTAACAGGCATCTCAGAATTGAGATGGTGATCCAAGGTGTAGAGTCTCCCTACCACCTCCTTCCTCCCAAGCACCCATAGTGGAGGGGCTTTATCCCTAAACAAGGAGAAAGACTTCGTTAAGCAGAAGAGACCCAAGAAAACCCTGGAAGAAGGAACACAAGCCAGAAAAGACATGTTCTCAGTTGAATGCCGTACCCTTGACCTTCCTGTTATCTCAGGCAATGGAAAATCCTGGAGAAAATGAAAGACTAAAAACTCGGCCTTGAAGAAAGTAATGCCCAGAAGCAGAAGTGTCTTTTAAGCACAAAACTTAATGAGCTCATAAATTTATTAACGTAAGAGCTCAAACTTCCTCCGAGACAATAAAATGAGATGGGAAATATGGAACTAAGGGAATAAAATGAGACTAGAACATCCAAAACCAATAAATTTGAAGCAGTAAAGAGTTTAATGGCCTGAAAATACAGCTTTAGAATTTAGAGAAGAAAAACAGAGAGAGGGAGGAAGGAAACTTAAACAATCCTAAGGGTGATCCAGGATAACATAATTGAATTGCCTAAAGAAAAAACCTTATTCCAAAAAAAAAAAATATATATATATACATGTGAAGATGTAATAGATGAAAAGTTTCTCATCACTGAGTTGTCAGAAGGCAAAGGGTATATGCAGCATTTGAAGGGAGAATTGTCATAATCACACCAGTCAAGGGTTAAGATCCACACAGAGAACTAAGAATACACAACTGTGCGAATAGGACTGAAATGTTACGAACTTTGAAAAATGAGAGATGAGTCTGTATCTAAAACTGAAATATGTAGCTAAAAAATTCTACTTAAGGGCTGGGGGGATATAGCTCAGTTGGTAGAATGCTTGCCTCACAGGCATAAGGCCCTGGGTTCAATCCCCAGCACCACACACATACACGCGCGCACGCGCACGCGCACACACACACACACACACACACACAAATTCTACTCAAAATATCTGTTTAGATCTAATTCTTAACTCAAGGGGTATTTTTTGGAAATAGTATCTCTTAAATTTCTTATATGGAAATATGGATAATTCCTTTATTTTCACTTCAGCTTCATTTTAAGTACAAAATTAAATTTTATTCTTTTTGTTTAAAACATATCAATTGAATTTTTGCATTTTTCTTTGTAAGGCACTGTTTAATTTTTTTTAATAGCTACTTCTAAAAGTGAAAGCTTATTCCAGAAAATTATGTGAAACATAGTAGAATACTCATGTGCCCCAGCTAGGACTCTGGTTGAACAGGTCCTGCGTGGGCCTCTGCATGGCAGGTGTAAATCTGTGGTGTGTCTGTGCCAGCTGCCCCACCGCATTGCTCTAGCTGTGTTCTTAGCCTGGTGGCGTCCACTTTCGTGACCACCTGCCTCCTGACTTTCTGAAGATGAATGGGGAAGCAGCTACCCTTCGTGGTGATTATCATTTTTCATGTCCCCCATGCCTGGTGGCATTGATGAGTGACATAAAGCCATCACTGCATCGTGAGGAAGGAAAACGAGCAGGAAGATGTCATTTCATGAAAGAGTGGACTGAGCAAGGAAAATGTTATCTCAACATCATTTTTAAAGATTAAAGAGTTCAGAAAATAATCATTTTCCTGTTACGCCTTAGCTGAGACATTATAGTCATGAGGACCTTCTGAGTGTGGTGAGTAAATAACGTCTATAGTGGAATCGGACTTATTTTTTTTTCATTAACTCATAATTGAGGGCACATAAACTGATGTTGCAACATGACTAAATTATTTTATGCAGATTTTTACTCTCAATAAATGCAAAGTAGTTAATACAGTATAGACATTTTGGTCTAATATGAATTTCAGAGATGTGCATTACAAGAGCTACTTGAAAATAACGAAGGATTAAAGTATTTGGCTTTTTTACCAGTAAGTAATATATAATTGAATAAATTTTGCTTATGTTCTTAAGGATCTAACAAATGGAAACAAAACTAAATTAGGACAAGTGATTAATTATTGCTCAAAGATATAATAGTTGACAGAGGTGGTGGGTGGTTGATGCCACTTAAAAGATGATTTATTTCTAGCATAGCTAGACATGAGGGCGGTTTCATCTCCTCTCTCCTGCAGTAAGTCTCACCTGTCTGCTTGCCTGCCTTCCTACCTATCAGTGATGACAAAAACATACTCAGTGAATATTTTATTCAGTTAAAATGGCAATGGTGACTGTTTTTTCTTTTTTTACCAAAGGCCATTGCAACTTATTGTTCTTTAATTTTGTTAATGAGAAACCCTAAAAAGTGGATTATTTTACTTTCTAAATTTTCTCTGTGTCGATGTAACTGCTGTGTTAGCAGTAAGTGCTCATGACTGACCAGGTGATGTATCTTGACCGTCCCAGGTGTGGTCATTCTAGAAGTTACCAGAGGGCAGCCCTTGTTCTCGTAAGAGCATCAGTGTTGCACGAGTGGAACCTGCTGAAAAGTGGGCTTCAAAGGCTCCTTCATGTGACATGCCCAGCACAAAGGCCAACTTCCTCCTCATTTGGCAGCACTTATCAGACGGTGGAGTTGGCAGAACTCAGCTACGGAATGAAGTAGGAGGATGTTGGTTCAGGGCCTGGGCATCTCTGGACAGGAACGTGGTGTCTAGAAGTGCACACCAGGCATGAGCATTCCCATGGAGTTTGATTAGCAATATTCTTAACATTGCCAGGACTTTAGAATGAAGTTTATAAAAGTTGTCTTTACTTAAACTACTGCCTTACTATAGCACCCTCATCATGGTGATCTTAAATTTGTCTAAACACACACGCACACGCACACACATGCACACACACACACATGCACACACACAAGCACACACACACACAAGCAGTTGGTGTATGTACACTTTTACCATTTGGTTTCCTTTCTTCTTTTTCAACAGAAATTCTAGAAGCAGGTGTTAAAGGATCTTCGGAATCTCTGAAAGGTGTGAAACGGAAAAAGATTGTTGCTGAGAATCACCTGAAAAAGATACCAAAATCCCCCCTGAGGAATCCTCTGCAGGCAAAACATAAACAGAATACCGAAGATTCGTCTTTTGCAGTTCAGAGTGTGTCAGAATCTCACAAGAAGTCGAATTCTGTTCCTGTAAGAAATGGGAAGCTGTTCACCAGACAGAATGGAGAGGCGCCTGCCCTGACTGCTGAGGCCTCCAAACCCGGGGGCTCCGTCTCCCCCGAGAAGCCCTCGTTTCTGCAGCGCCCGGCGGAGCTGCGGAGATGGAGATCGGAAGGTGCGGACCCTGCCAAGCACAGTGTGCTGCCTGAGAACTGGGACTCGGGTTCTCTGTCCAGTAAAACCAGGACTGACAGCAGTGAATGTATCTCTCCTCACCGCACCACGCCCCCCGCGTACACCAACACCGCATTTGATGTCTTACTGAAAGCAATGGAGCCAGAACTGAGCACCTTGTCACAAAAGGGCTCGTCTTGTGCAATTAAGACAGAAAAACTGAGACCAAATAAAACTGTACGATCCCCATCTAGATTAAAAAACAGTTCAGCGAGTGCCCCAAATCAGACTCCACCAGAACCCGTTGCCGAGCCGCAGCTTCCTCCCAGTACCTCATACACAGTGCATGTCTCTGCTCCTCAGAAGAACGAGCAAGCAGCAGTTCAGTCGGTTTCTCATCTGGATAATCAGCGGGAACACTTTGTTTCCAAACCTAATCAACACAGTCAGCAGCTCCCCGGGCACTCGGGTTTCGCAGGAGCACTGACGAATCTGCAAAGTCAGGAGAACGGCAAACACGAACAGGTGTATAACTCAGCAGTGACATCAGCCACAGGTCTCACTTCTCCTTCCAGTAGAACTCAGGTCACTCCTCCAAACCAGCAAGTGGATTCTGCTTCACCTTTGTCAATAAGTGCAGCCAATTCCACACAGTTGCCCCCTGCGCCACTTTATAATTCAACTCACGTTGCCTCTGTTGTTAATCAAAGTGTAGAACAAATGTACAATCATCTTCTGAAAGATCAGAAGCCAAAAAAGCAAGGAAAATATATTTGTGAGTATTGCAATAGAGCTTGTGCAAAGCCTAGTGTGCTTTTAAAGCATATCCGCTCCCACACAGGAGAGCGGCCCTATCCCTGCGTGACTTGCGGATTTTCATTTAAGACTAAAAGCAATCTGTATAAGCACAAAAAATCCCACGCACATACTATCAAACTGGGCCTCGTCTTGCAACCAGATGCTGGTGGTTTGTTCTTGTCCCAGGAGTCCCCCAAAGCACTTAGTATCCATTCAGATGCAGAAGACAGTGCAGAGAGTGAGGAAGAGGCTGCTGCTGAAGGAAGACAGAATGAGCGGGGGGCCATGGACTTGCAGCCTGTGCAGATAATGAAGAGGTCGTTAAATCCTGAAGCCTTTCCAAAATCAAGTTCCATTCTAAGCAATCCAGATCAGGTGGCAGGTGACTTTTCACTACAGGACCCATCTTCAGAATCACAAGCTGTGACAGACTTACCAAAAGTTGTGGTCCACCCTATCAGCGTGTCCCCATCCAGAACCGACAGCTCGCAGGTTGTCAGTGCCAAGCCCGAGCTTCCTAGTGCACACAGACAGAAGGACCTTCAGGTAACAAAGGCACTGTCACAGTCTGCCACTGTGACCTCCCTAGAGACTGAGGAGAAGTCCCGTCAGAAAGGGGACACAGGTCAGCCGGAAGGGAAACAGGACTCCCATGGTGGAGGAGCGGCCCACGCCCAGCTGCAGAGGCAGCAGGCCACCGATCACTCCCAAGAGCAGCAAGGAAAGCTGCTGCTAAGCCCTCGCAGTTTAGGAAGCACAGATTCCGGCTACTTCTCACGATCTGAAAGTGCGGATCAAACAGTGAGCCCACCCACTCCCTTTGCCAGAACCTTCCCCACCACCGAGCAAGACTCTGCTAAGAGCAATGAGCCCTCTGCACCAAGACTCAATACACCAGCACCCTCCGCGCTGTCGACAGGGGAAAAGCCACCCCTCGTACCTGGTCAGATGCGCCCGCCCTTGGCCACCAAGACCCTGGAGGAACGGATATCAAAGCTCATCTCAGACAATGAAGCCTTGGTGGACGATAAGCAGCTGGACAGCGTGAAGCCACGGAGAACCTCTCTCTCCAGACGAGGGAGCATCGATTCCCCCAAATCATACATATTTAAAGATTCTTTCCAGTTTGACCTGAAGCCAATGGGACGGCGAACCAGCTCCAGCTCTGATATACCCAAGTCCCCGTTCACCCCGACCGAGAAGTCCAAACAAGTGTTCCTCCTGTCCGTTCCTTCCCTCGACTGCTTGCCTATCACAAGAAGCAACTCCATGCCGACCACAGGCTACTCGGCCGTCCCTCCGAATGTGATCCCTCCCCCGCACCCACTGAGAGGAAGCCAGTCATTTGATGACAAAATTGGCACTTTCTACGACGACGTCTTCGTCCCGGGACCTAACTCTTCTGTGCCACCAAGTGGACATCCTCGCACTCTCGTCAGGCAGGTAGCAGTGGAAGACTCTTCAGCCACTGAAAACCACGTTCTCGGCCCCAGCCAGTCCTTGGATGAGGGCCACCAGGGAGGCCACGCCACCACGGAACCTGTGTCGGCCCGCGGCAAGACCTCGGCACCGGGCTCCCATCTGGAGAAAAAGAAGTCTCATCAGGGCCGAGGGACCATGTTTGAGTGTGAAACCTGTAGAAACAGGTACAGGAAGCTGGAAAATTTCGAAAACCATAAGAAATTCTACTGTTCAGAGTTACATGGGCCCAAAACAAAGGTCCCTGTGCGGGAGCCCGAGCACAGCCCCCTGGGGAGCAGCGCGCAGCCGCAGGTTCTCCACTACAGGGTTGCAGGCTCCTCGGGCGTCTGGGAACAGACGCCGCAGATAAGGAAAAGGAGGAAAATGAAAAGTGTTGGAGACGACGAGGAGCTTCCACAGAACGAAAGCGGAACTTCCCCCCAAAGCTCCGAAGCCCTACAGTTTCAGAACGCCCTGGGCCCCGTCCCCAGCCTGTCTAAACCCTCTGTCGCCGGATCAGGGGACCAGCAGCACCGACACGTGCAGCTGCAGAACTCCCAGGTGCAGCTCGTCACCAGAGGCCCTGAGCAGACTGTGGACCCAAAGCAACAGATAAGTTTGGCTGCCCAGGACCGGGTGGAGGTGAAGAGACAAGGGGCCGGCATCTCCGTCATCCAGCACACCAACTCCCTGAGCAGACCCAGTTCCTTTGACAAAGTTGAGCCCTTCGAAGGAGCTTCCACAGTTTCTTTCCAGGAGCTGAGCAGAACTGGGAAGCCTGGGTCTCTGAAAGTAGTAGGGATCTCCCCAGAGGACACGTCACATCCTCACCAGCCTACGCTGTCAGAAGCTGTCAGAGGAGAGCCATGGGAAAGTTCCAGAAAGATGACAGGCGAGCGGCATGTGCTGGGACAGCCCTCGAGACTTGTCCGACAGCACAATATCCAGGTGCCAGAAATTCTGGTCACGGAAGAGCCAGATCGAGACCTGGAAGCCCAAAGTCACGATCAAGAAAAATCTGAGAAGTTCAGCTGGCCTCAGCGTAGTGAGACCTTGTCAAAGCTGCCAACAGAGAAACTGCCACCCAAAAAGAAGAGGCTCCGTCTGGCCGAGATCGAGCATTCCTCTACTGAATCGAGTTTCGACTCCACTCTCTCCCGGAGCCTAAGCAGGGAGAGCAGTTTATCCCATGCTTCAAGTTTCTCAGCCTCCTTAGATATAGAGGACATCTCTAAGACAGAGGCTTCACCAAAAATTGATTTTCCAAATAAAGCAGAGTTTCTTTTGATTCCACCTGGCTCGAATACGCTGAATGTTCCCGGAAGCCACCGGGAAATGAGGCGGGCTGCATCTGAACAGATCAGCTGCATGCAGACATCCCTGGAGGTCCCCAGCTTCAGAAGTAAGTCATTCGACTGTGGCAGCATCACACCAACCCAGATGACACCGCTTGCTGAGTCACAGCCTTCGACCCCCACCTCTGGCACTGGGGTCACCGGACACGTGCCTCTCTTAGAAAGAAGGAGAGGCCCGCTGATCCGGCAGATATCTTTAAACATAGCTCCAGAGAGTCTTGTGCCTCCAGTGAACCCACCATCTTTCCAAAATACTGCTCTGCCCAGCGTGAGTGCAGGGCCATTTCAGGGTCCTCCGCTCCCTAATACACCTTTGGGTGAGTTTTCAACAAACACTTTGCACTCCCAGACGCAAGCTAAGGATCTGCGGACAGAAGCGCCAAGCTCCAGCTCTGCTAACATCTTTCCTGTCCAACAGCTTTTTGGTGTCAACTTATTGAACCAAACCCATACACCCCTTGGCCAGCAGAACGCACAGCTGCCTCTGCCGGGGTCTGAGCAGGGTGACACACCAGGTGCACAATCCACTCGATGTGTGTCTTCTCAAAGCAAGGATTGCTTTGCTCCCAAGTACCAGTTGCAGTGCCAGGTTTTCACCTCAAGCCAGTCTTGCTCCTCTAATCCCGCACATCCTTCACCGAATCAAGTTCTTTCAGATCCAGACAGAGCAGATAGTTGTGCAACTTCAGTGGCATTGCCAATCAAATTAGTGGATCCCCTGTGTGATTCATGTCCTCTGCCACTGCCGGAGCTCGGGCCACCGGGCAGGCAGGTGCACAACGTGCCATCCTCATTCATGCTGCCCGTGCATCTGCAGAGTAATGTTCCCACGTACTGTTTTGCCACTGTGATATCTCTGCCACAGATCCTAGTGACCCAAGATCTGTGCAGCACGCCAGTTTGCCAGGCTAATCAAACGATAGTGCCAATCAGTGAAGAACAGAATTCTGTGCCACAGTCACAGAAAGCTCACCAGAATGCTTTGCCAAATCCAGAGAAAGAGCTTGTTTGCAAAAATATTTTTTCAGAGTTCAGCCAAAATTCTCACTCTGAATCCTTGCCGGTCACTCAGAAAATGTCTGTTGGTAGACTTTCCCCCCAACAAGAATCTTCAGCTTCTAGTAAAAGGATGCTCTCCCCAGCAAATAGTTTAGACATCGCCATGGAAAAGCACCAAAAACGGGCTAAAGATGAAAATGGAGTTGCTTGTGCCACAGATGTTAGGTCCATAGAGCCATTAAGTTCAAGAGCAAATGAGGTTAATAAGCAGAAAAAACCAGTTTTGGTGAGGCAGGTTTGCACTACAGAGCCCCTTGAAGGTGGGATATTGGAACAGGAAGCTTTTTCTAAGCCTGAAACTGGTAGTGAGGCTGTTAATTTGCCAGATGTTTTACCAGCTGATCATTTGTCATCAGGACAGTCTAAGTTGGTAGTCACAGAACCTATCAGTGAATTACAAGAATTTGAAAACATCAAGCCATCTGCATCATTAACTCTCACAGTCCAGAAGTCACCTGTCACTTCAGAAAACAACCTCGTTTCCCCTCTGAAATCTGCAAACAGTAACCAGGAAGGGGAGTCTCCAGGGGCGAAGAGCCAAGGGAACAAAGCCAGTGCACAAGGGCAGGGTCAGCCGCCAGCCACCACCCTTCCACTGTTGGGCCCTGCGGATGCACAGCAGCCCTCTTTCCCCAGCCTCAAGACTGCCACCAGCTTCACATGGTGTTACCTGTTAAGACAGAAGTCACTGCCTTTGCCACAGAGTGACCAGAAAACGTCAGCCTACACCGAGTGGACAGTAAGCAACGGTGACCCAAATCCACTTGGTTTGCCTACGAAAGTTGCGCTTTCTCTCCTTAACTCAAAGCAGAAGACTGGAAAATCACTGTATTGCCAAGCAATAACCACCCATTCCAAATCAGATTTGTTGGTCTATTCAAGCAAGTGGAAAAGCAACCTAAGCAAGGTACTCGAAGTATAATTTGCCTTCAAATATGGCTTGTGCAAATTAGTTTTATTGACTATCTTACTTAGAAGCATTTTCATTTTAAATGACAAGTTGTACTATATTTATGTAGATATTAAAAGGCAGGGTGTCACACTGCTGAGAGTTATCTGAAGTCCTTTTGGTGATTCTGTCATTTAGGAAAGGACAACTTTTTGTTCCTCGGTTAATTATGGTATGTGTCTACTTGATTGCCCTTCACTGAGAGTCTCAGTTGGACTTGATCTTTCTCATCTGTTAAGGTGGTGGTGTCTTTGTTAAGTGAGAGGAGATTAGGCATATGCTCTGATGGGTGTGGATAATCAAGGATAGTTGTATTTTATTGTGAAATGTGAGCAGAGAACTCTTCACACTTGTTCATACTAACTCTCTCCCTCTCCAGGCCTATCCCAGCGCTCCTCCAGAGTAGTTCTCAGAATCAAGAGTCACCAAATAAGTTATATACTTAATAAGTTGACTTTGTCAAGATTTATAATGAAATTTAAGATCATAAAACTACAATTTTAAGTAATTGATGGAACTGGTCTCATTAGAATTATCAGCCTTATGAAATTAGAAAAATCATTTAAGTGATTACGAATAAATCCATAAAGATATCCCATTGCACTCTGGACATTCAGAATTATAGGTGAAGTCATTGACCTCTGCAGATCCCAAAGCATATAATTAATGTAGGTTCTTAAGCATTTACACACCTATCAACAAGAAAGTCCTGCAGTGTCAGCCTCGTGACAGAGCGTGCAGTTCCGGAGGAAGGGAGTCTTGAGTGGTGCCTGCAGGTTGAGGAGGTGTGGATACTCTGAGGATGATGCTATCCCTTGGGGTCTCAAAAGCAATAGTAAGGAGAATCATTTGGGATGCTTCCAGCAAACAAGAATTACAGAATTTTAATACATCACTAAAGGACACAGGAGTGAAAAGAACCCTGGTTCATTTAAACCCTGGCTGCAGAGTCTGGCATGGCCAGAAATTTTGTGAGTTGGAAATGTAGATAAAACCCACAGCATATGCATGATGGTGGAGAAGGAAGTAAAGGAGGGTGCCTCCACCCCTTTGTGGATTTGCTTTCTTGAATCCTCAGGCTCTGAGGCTGCTGAGTCAGAATCTTACAGGAGACCCAATCATGAGAACTTAAGCAACACTTCATTTGCATTCTGATGTGCCTATAGAAAAGGGTGCTCCTAGGCTGTGGGTGTAGCTCAGTGGTAGAGCGTGTGTTTAGCAATCCCCAGCATCCCCCCCCCCAACCCCCCAAACCAACGTCTTCAAGTTCCAGATGTCTTGGAAGAAAGGTCTGGAAGTCTGTAGCTAGACGGGTCTCAGGAAAGAGCTCCAGGTGAGGGTGTTGTGTGGAGAGCCTTTAGTGACCCGTGTGATTGATGAGATTGTTCAGGAAGGTGTGAAGAAGAGCAGAGGGCCTCGCCTGGGTCCTGCAGATCTTACCATTCAAAGGGTTGAGTGTGAAGAGAGTCCAGCCCAAAATTGAGAAATTGTTCATAGAGGAAGAAGGAGCACCAGGAGGAGGAGGACCGCGGCAGCAGGTGTTTCGGGAGTTGCTGGAGGAGAAAGGTGAAGGCAGGCAGGAGTGTGTGTCCTGAGCTGTGAGGTGTTGACGGAGACTTGAGTCCCAGAGCCGGGGCCTTGGAGGACTGGGCACTGCACCGACTGCTCCTCCAGACCCAAATGTCAGTGTATTCATGATTCGGGGTGGAGAAGGACGGGAGCTATAGAGCAAAAGGGTTTCCAAGGAAAATCGGAGTCAGGGCATAAGATGGCTGTCGAGCTCACTAAGATAAGCTGACGATCGTGCAGCCTAACTCATTGGTAATTGGCAAATAGAAGCCAGATTTAATAAAAGATGGGCAAAAGATAAAGGGGAGTTTGGTGTTGAAAGAAAGTAAGAAAGGATTATGGCTAAAAGGATAAAGTCAGAGGAAAGAGTGTGCGTCTCATCCACGTTGTGGGAAGCTAGGGCTCATCGGGAGCAGAGGAAAGGAGACCATCATCTTCACCTTGTACCTCCTGGTGAGGGACATTGCCTGGCAGCTTCTCTTTCCTCCCGTCTTTGTAAGAACAGGGCCTCCAGGGTACTTTCCCGAGGCCTGAGGCCCTCCTTCCATCACGACTGTCCCCAGCATTTGCCTTCTTCAGGCTTTCTCAGGACCGTGACTGGCTACCTGGCAATGTCACTTTTTACAGGAGGTTGTATAAAAGAAGCCCCTAATTAGAGAGTTTGAGTCTTTGCAGGTGACACTTGACTTGGAACACGTAACTGAACCCCGAGAGGGTCCTTTCTCGCTGGGATTTGTCCACCCCAGCTGCCTGCCTCACAAGTACGTGGGAGTGCGAGGGCACCTGGTACAGTTGTATGGAGTCTCCTACAAAACCACAAGGTGGCATTTCCTGGAGGAAGACCACACATGGCTTATCACATCAGCATATCATTTTAGCCTTTGTAACCTTTTTCAGAGATCTTTATCAGGCCCAGTCTTGACTTTTGAGCTGACCTGAAATTCAACAGTGACTAGAATTCGGGGAATTTTTGTGAAGACCTGGAGAGGAACCATGTCTGTGGTTTAAAATAATGGGGGGTGGGGGGCGGAGAGTAAGTAACACACTGAGAAACCGAGCTGCCTCCAGTGCACTTAAGGTAAAGGAGAGGAGAGCTAGTGATGTTTCTTGGGGCTGAGACCTTAGGGTACCACACAGCTCTTTTCCATCTCCAAAGAATAAACTCTTTAAGAACCATATTTAAACTGTGTTCTAAGTGGTTAGTTAAATACAGAAAAGAAAAAAATTTACTATCAAGTTTATGAAGTGTTAGGTTGGGAGGTTTATTTGGGGGTGTCAAGGACTGTGATGGGATTTTTAAAAATATCCTAAGATGGGTCAGTTTGCTATAGTGCAGACAGACTGGAATTATTAAAGCAGAATGATCTTGAATGTGTTATTTTAGAATGCGTTTCATTAAGATAATTACATGCTCTATACGCTGCCGTGCTTTAATTTCCACTGAACATGACATATGTTTGTGTTTTCAGTTTTATTAAATTAGTTTCTCTTTTTTTTCCCTTTCAGAGAGCATTAGGTAATCAAAAGTCCACAGTAGTTGAATTCAGCAATAAAGATGCCTCTGAAATTAACAGTGAGCAAGATAAAGAAAATTCCTTAATCAAAAGTGAACCAAGAAGAATTAAAATATTTGATGGAGGGCAAGTACAAGTTTTACTTCTGAAATGTACATTTAAACTTACTTTTTAAATGTACATTTTGCTTTCATGTGAATGAAGACTTACGAGTGCCAACTTATATATTTAAATGTTGCAAGGTTTCTTAGCTTACTAATAGAATCTTTGGGGAAAGATAGGTATTGGTATTGTGTTAAATAATTCCAATTTGATGGAGAAAATGATGAATAGAAGGCAGCTGAGAATTAAATTTTCAGAGTGAGCCCCAGGTATCATGCTGATTTACAATAAGGAATGACTTGTAAAATTTGCTCTAAAAGAGATGAATTTATTGCCTATTTGAAAGCTTTTGTGTATTTTATTATGAGAAAAACAAACTGTAAAATCAAATTATAGTGAAACTTAGAAATTTCAGTACTTTTGTAGTTGTGATTGAATATAGCAGTGGAGAAAACTGTTAAACCAGTGTCTTACAACCAGGAAAATATTTTTAAATTAAACATAATATTGAACAAGTTTGTTTGATCAGAACTAGCTGTTAGAACATTAAAGTGTTGATGTGAAAAACAAATATTCTATGACATGTCCATGAAATTTCATATGTTGAGTGTAAAAGTTGTGCTTTATTTTTTTAGGTTGGATTTTAATCGTCAATATTTTCTCAAAGACATAGTGTCCAATCTTCCTATTCATTTTTTCTTTTCTTTAAATTAGGTACAAATCAAATGAAGAGTATGTGTATGTCCGGGGCAGGGGAAGAGGAAAGTACATTTGTGAAGAATGTGGAATTCGTTGTAAGAAACCTAGTATGTTAAAGAAACACATACGAACCCACACCGACGTCCGCCCCTACCACTGCTCTTACTGTAACTTCTCCTTTAAGACAAAAGGTATGAGCCCACATTGCTTCTGGGTCCTCAGTAGCTTAAAGGGACTGCATTTTATCTTCTCAACATTGTAGTTTTATTTTTTGTTTCTAAACCCTTTGGGAAAACAATTTTAATTCCACATTTTTAGAGAATATGGAATAAATGTGTCATTTTAAAAGAAGCAGCTGCCCTTTTGCTGTAATTTTGCTCCCCAAATTATAGTTGTATGACATAATGGTGAATACCGCTTCAGAGATATTCTCTCTCGGGCTGAAGAAGAAGAAGAAATGTTCAGGATAACAAGTAAATTCATCTGGGTCCTAAAAAACTAAAGAAAAAATTTAAACACTAGCACGGCAAACATTTGCCGTAGTCACTACTCTTGTGCTTTATGGTGTAGACACATAATGCCATTTCCTTTCTTTTTCTTCATGATACATTTTCTTTTTGCCCAATACTGTTGGATTTTAGCTTCAAAAAATTTTTAACATTTTTAGTATTGAATGTTTATAAAGAGATCTCTCATCTAGTTATTAAAATCATTTAGATCCCTTTTGTTTTCTTTATGTTTTTATTTAACTCATAAGCCTTTATTTAAAAGTAATTTTACCCTGTAACGTTTCCTGCTCCACATAATGGATACAGTACTATAAAATGTTTGCTTTCTCCTTGTTCAAGAATCATTACATGGCAGTTCGTTACTTGATATTTTAATGCTATGTACGATTCTTAAAAAAAAAAAACACAAAAAAACGAAACAACTCTTCACCAAATGTAATCATGAAAATGTCTGTATGGAGGAACAATTTCTGTAAAGTGTTTTTTTCGTAATCAGTTTTTTATAAAAAAACTGATTTGTTTTGTCCCCTTTCTCGTCTTTTTTGTTGTTTTCCTGTTGTATCCTTGTCTTCACACTTTTGGTTATAAAACTTGACCAACCCATTAGCAAAATTTGCTATGCCTTGTGGGTAGTGTTTATTGGCATTTAAAGAGAGTTATAACATGTAGCAACTAAACAGCTAAACAGTTAGCTGTCTTCAAATGCCAATAGCTGCCTGAAACGAGAATAATGGAAAAAGCAAAATGTTCTTCAGATAGCTTTGAACGCTCCTGTAAGGTTTCAAGAAGTCGGAGGAGTTGGGAGGAACATGGCTCAGTGGGAGCTTCATGGTGATGCAGAACCCCCTGGAGGTGGGGGCAGCTTCAGGGTGGTTTCCCAGGTCTTGGGTGAGGACTCTGATAGGAGAGAGTACTTTGATCTTTTAACCTCATTTATTACTTTTTCTTGTGATTAGAAAAAAGAAACATCAGTTAATTTCTAGTATGGGGCTAGGAGCATATTTAAAAGGCCAACACTACCAGTAAAAGATGACCAGGTACAGAATGGTGTTACCAAGAACAGGAACATGAAGGTGTAATATGAAATGAATAGTTCTCAATAGAAAGAAGAAAGGAATCAGGATATTCTAGAAATCAGTTCTCAGAATAAGAGCAAGCAAGGAAGGGTCAGGCTCAAAATGGAAAACCAGATTTCTTGGTGAGGAAAAATGTTATGAGTCCCCAAGTATTAATGTTAGTGGACTAACTCAAAACACATTGTGCAATATTTTAAATAAATGCTTATTAAGTGGACAAAACATGATGCCCCCTGAGGAACGAGCCTTTTCTGTCAGCAGTTTCCATGTCCTGTATTTCTCTAATATGCTGCAATCTGAACTCGCATTAAAGTTTTTGCTTTGTCAGGCAAGTCATGTGGAGTTACAGTGTGTAGTTATTTCAATGAGACTACCCTAGCTAAGGGGACTAGTGAAGAAAATATTAGAAATGTTTTATTTCCCTATTCTTAATGTGACAGTCCTCAGTTTTTAGGGTCACATTCTTTTCTGAAGTATGTACCTTTTGTGAATCAATGTAAGCCAACCCCATAGCACCTTTTAATGGTAGCTCTAAGGTGGAGCTTTTTTATTTAATTAGGCTGTGGGTTTTGTTCAACTTTCTTTCTTTTTTTTGGTGATTCTAGCAAATTCAACTGTACTTCTTATTGAGTGTGTGGTTCTTAGCAAAGAGAAATAGCAAGAGTCACAGCGTGCTGATAAACACGCATGCTGGGCTCCAATGCTTCTGACTTACGGCTTAGAAATCTGTAGTGCTTCATTTGTCTCTTAGTTTATTTCATGAATACATTTCAAAAATAATTTTAATTAATTTCCTGATTGTGCTTTTAAAGGGCAGTCAGCAGAAAATATATGTGAATTTACATCTCTGCAAGAGTAAGTCCCGTTTATGTCACAGAAAACTAAACTGTAGCTATGAGAGTCCAGAAGCAACACTTCCCATGCTTTCTAAAGGATTTGGATAAATTTTCTGGTAGATTTCATGAACATTTATCTCTTAAGTTAATACATTAGTACAGAAGAGTTACAGCATTTCTGTGGGATATTTGCATTTAAATATGCACATTTTGTATGTTTAAAAGGTAAATTTTTATTTGAAATTACCTAGGAGATTGATTAATAATAACCACTAGTGCAAGTTGTGAGAAACTATGCTTATTAAAATGCAGATTGCAAAATTTGCCTGGTTACAATCATATTTTAACTTCTTAGCAGAAAACCTACTATGGCTGTCCACCTAGGGAACAAAAGCATTGTGAAAGGGAACCGTTATGGACCATATGGTTTGGTTTGTCATATTGTTATTACAGTAAAAGCATTTTAACTTACAAGTGGAAATTTTAGCCACTTAAGGTGGCCAAATTATTTTATAACTTTTTAATATGAAAACTTCAAAGCTCTTATAGAGAATTAGAGATCCGTATAATGTGCCCATCATCTTTTGATAATCTTTAGCATTTTGCCATTTTCCTTCATATTTTATTTTTTAAGTATATTTAACATAAATGTCAGACATCACCAAACCGTTTAAGCCAGGTGTTCTGTTCAGAATGACATCAGTCAGTCTGACAGGCATTGTCTGGTCCAGGCAGCCTCTCACACTGGCAATCCTTAAACACTCAGTTCTAGGCTGCTATGATAGTATGATGGAACATCCTATCCAGCGCCAGAATGGGCTTGTATAAGTGTAACCAGTTGCACACACTTAGAGTATTTGTCAAGAAATGGAAGTTTGTAAATATAGTAAATTTGCACAGGCTTCTCCTATTGCAAACTCCAAATTTGAACCAATGATTCAGAAATTTTTAGCTCTTCTAAAGGCTCTTCTCAAATACCAGTTTGCCCTCATCCACCAAGCTCAGTAGATTTTTTTGTCTTCTGAAGAAAGATATAGTTTGCCCTTATTGGCTGTGTTTTGGTATCTAGACTTTTCCACTCAAGATGCTTGGTATCCTCCGGGGAATCTGAGCTGTCCCCCTTCATTTATTCATGGTCACATGGGTCAAATGGGCCCTATTATTCCCAGTGACCCTCGTGATACCTGCAGAGACAGATTCAGCAGGTGCCACGGGAAGCACCCATAGGGACACTGATAGGAGACATCTAGTCAGTGCATGAAGTGAATTCAGTGCAGCTGTTTCTTTCTCCTGTTTCACACACAGAGAAGTACTGTTATTTAAAATGACCCAAATCAATTATCTGAGAATCAAGCTTAACTTTTTAAAATGTAGATTCCCAGGTGACAAAAACAAACAGACTCAAAGCTAGCGTGGTAAGCAGATAGGGGACTCAGTCAGACTTAGGCCTGCAGGCCTGGGTTTCAGTGCTTGTCTTGCAGTGGAGTCTGAGGCCGCTGGCTCTCCTGCCCTCGACTGTAGGCCTTGTGGAAAATAGACGATTTGTTTAAAAAATGCAAAACCCAACCCTTCCATGTACAAAACAAGACAAAATAAAAACAGAAAGTGGGTGATGTGAAACCACTGAAGCTCTGAGGCCCTGGACCGTTGTGGCACAGCCACCAGGTAGAGACCTTCCACAGCCCGGTCCTCAGGACTTCACGGGGACCATGGCGCTGAAGCTAGATGACAGGTAGAACCCAGCAGCCTGCAAGGAAGCAAACTGCTACCAGAGAAAGCTGGCAGGAGAGAACCAGCTCGCGCTCCAGGCACTGCAGGCCAGAGCGCAGTCTGAGTGGGACTTCAAACACGTGAAATGCTCCCAGAGATAAATTTGGAACAGTGAATAGAAACCATAGCAAGAGTAAACACTATCAGAAAAGGAAACAGATTTGAAAAAGACACTATTAATAAATGATGAGATCATTACAACTTATAGATACCAGTATTTTCTTTCATTCAAATTTTATTTATTGAATTTGTTTAGCCACAGTCGTGTACTTTTGCTTAAAATAGGAATGGAATTTGCTAGTGTTGACAAATGTAATAGCAAAATAATAATTTATATGTAAGCTTAGTAAATATTCTTTTCTCTTAAGGAAATCTGACAAAGCACATGAAGTCCAAGGCTCACAGCAAGAAATGTGTGGATTTAGGCGTCTCAGTAGGTTTAATAGATGAACAAGATACAGAAGAATCAGGTAAGGCTTTAAACCATGTTATTCACAAATGCTGTGTACAGTGCACTGTTGTTTTGCACCCATACTCTTTTCCTCATCCAAATTACTACTTAATTCCTGTTTTCATTACCTCTTATTTATCCTGTGTCATGGACTAACCAGTTTTCCCACCTTGAGTTTTTTTCCTTCTCCCATCTCTCTGCAACCATGTGAAGTCACTCTCCCTGAAGTGGGCGTCTGAGCACTACTCCTCTGATCAGAGTGTCCCACCGGCTCCCATTTGCCTACCAAATAAAGTGCCAACCACTTGACCTTAATTAAAATCTTTTGTAACCTTCCGCCGCCTGCTTCTACATCCTCATTTCTTACTCTCTGCCACCCCCATCACTCTTGAGCTTCCTTCTTTCATGACTTGAATCCTGTGATCCGCCTGTAGGACCCTCACTCCCACACAGTCCCACCTCCTGCTCTGCATGAAGAGTCTCACTGCCTTCAAAATGTACTGGAAATCCACCACCCCCACGAAGCCTCCTCTGATTTTCCTTCCTGCACCATATGGAACAGTATTTCCCTTCTTTGAACTCCTGTGGTATTTAAGTTTCTTCTCTGAAAGCATGAATCCTCTCTGCCTTGTTTTGGGTAATTGTGGCCACCCCCCACACCCCCACCCCCGCTTCTGCACCTGTGCAGCATGAGCAGAGTTCCTGCCTGGGATGAATGAACACTGGTCCCAGCAGACCAGAGCACTAGTACAGGGCTTTGTATACAGTGGCTGCACCATAAGTATTTGTTGGTAAAGCATTTGGTTGTTTGTCTGAAATGTTCATTATTTTGAAAAACTTGATGGCTTTTTTTTTTTTTATAACAGTGTTAACAAATTTAAGTATTTATCTCTAACCAGTTTGGAGGGAGAATAAACCTGTTCGTCTGTTCTGACTAATCAAAAAATGGTGAATGTCTTTTACAAAATTTCTTTTTAACCCAAGGAATTATCAACACGAGAGAAATTTAAAAAGAAAAAAAAAAAGATGCCCTGCTATTTTTTAAGACTGCCCTAACTTAAACATTCATCTGCTTGCTGCATTTTTCTTAATTGGCTGATATAAAGAAAATTTCCAAAGAGAAAATAATGAGGACATCATTGAAAATATAGGTTAAAGGATCAAGCCATTTGATCCCATCTGACAAGTAGCAAAGTAGTAAATGAATCAGCTCGATTTTATTTCTAAAGATGCAAGAGTAATGCCTCCTGTCTTAAGGGTAAGAACAGTTCAGATATAAAAAGCTCGGAAATGTGTGTAAGAGATTTGGCAGATGTGTTTATCAACAACTGCTTAGGCAAGGAGCATAGGGAAGGCCACCGGGGAAACTGATCCCTGGAGACACAGGCTGTAAAACGAGGACTGTTACAGTGTCTACTGCTGTGCATTCCAAAAATCACATGTGTGTAGAATCCCCTGAACTTTTAAGGTAAGGTACTACTTACATCGTAAATTTGCATAGACGTCAAGTGTAGTTTCTGTTAATAATCATGCATTCTTTACATCTGCTGGCTGGCTGGTAGACTTGCATATCTGTTTTTGCATTTTTCATCTCATTGCAAAAGCATTGACAGCTGATCTTAGACTGCAAATGGAAGTTGGTGGCTGAGCTCCCTGTTAGGATTAGTTAGCCAATGAAAAAGGTGGCGGTTTTACCTGGTTTTTTTTTTTTTAAGTTTCATTTTTTTAAAAAATCATTTATGGGAAGGGTCTCAAAATTCCTTCCCAATTTTTATCAAATAATAAAGTATAAATACAAATTCAAAATTCTGATCTTTATGTCAGATGACAGACCTAAAATTCTTCATTCTTTTGCAAACAAAATATATTTTTCTTCTTTTGCTTTATGATAGGCTTGCAGTGTAGGTACAGTAAGCAGTTGTTTTAAACAAATGGCCTTGTGTTCCTTTTATTATTCTCTTGGGGCTTTTAAAAAATATTTCGAGATTTTTTTTTTAAATATAAAAAGACTGTGAAGAATTTTACTCCATACTCATGTGTTTATACCAGAGTTGATGATTGTAAATATTTTCTCATACTTACCTCTGTTCCTTCCCATGAATTCAGTGTGTTTTGTTTTGGTTTTTTTTGGACCAGGGATTGAACCCAGTGGTGCTTAACCACTGAGCCACAATCCCCGCCCTTTTCTTGTTTTATTTTGAGACAGGGTTTTTGCTAAGTGAAGTCCTCCTGCCTCAGCCTCCCAAGTTTCTGAGATCCCTGTGTTTTTTTCACAAGCTCAGTAAGCATGACAGCCTTCCTGTCCCTGCGCTGCAGACACACAGGCACCAGAGGGTTTCCCTGCCTTCCATTGAACATCCCTGAGTATATTCATGAGTAGTAGGTGGCTTAGTTCTATGTCTGGATTTTAAATTTGCAAAACAAAACCACTTTCTATGTAGATGCGTGGAAAATTAACCACGCTATAATTTTACATTGTTTTCCAGAAGAGATCTGCAGTTTCCCCACTGCCTTAGCATAATTTTGTCAGATTTTGAATTTTCGGCCAGTTTGATAGATGAGAGTGTGTTGTCTTTTTGTGTGGTCTCATTGTTCTTGGAAAGAACTTCTACTCCATAGAACTGGTGGCAGAGATTGTCTGTGTGTAGCGGTCCCTCAGGCAGGCCACGTTGGGGGCCGGGGCTGTGGTGGCTGCAGCACGGCGCCCTCCTAGCACCAGCCTAGAGTGTCCTGGCTGTTCCGTCTCCTTTGCTGGTGTCTCCGGCCAGCCAGCCTCTGCCCGTGGGCCCCAGGGGTGTGGTCTTCCATCTCTCTGCTTCCTTGGCTGACCCCTGGGCCGTCTCCCCACCATCTTCTCCTGTCTTGTGACTTGAATGCCATCTGGGTACAGATGACGCCTGTTGACTGCAGACTTGCCCACTCGCCACCTCTGCCCAGATGTCCAACAGGCATCCAAGTCGGAACATGCCCGGTCTCTGCGTCACCCCTTCAGTCTAAGGAGCACACCTCCCCTGCAGCGTCCCAAGCTTCCGTGGCATGGCCAACAATCTGACATTGCCTTGGTGTCCCCCATTTTCTCAGTTTGCCTCTCATACCTCCTTCAGGCTGTCTTCAGCAACCGGCCTTCTCTAACCCCGGCCGCCACATCCTCCAATGAGAGCCGCCGTCACATCTGCTGACTTGTGGCTCCTGACTTTCTGTGGCTTAGCCCTGCTCCTCCCAGTCTGTTCTCCACACAGCAGCCAAGGTGGCCTTCTAAACACCATGCCGGTCCTTGGTCCGCCACATACTGGCAGCTTCCACCCACTCACCCTCCCCTCCACTCTCTCTCAGGCTGGGCTCCACTCCTTCTGCCCTCGCCCACTGGGCTGCAGCTGTGGGCCTCCTCTCATCATGAACACATCTGTGGGCTCCTGTCTCAGGGCCTTTGCACCTCTTGCCACAGTTTGAAATGCCCTCCACCAGACTCCATGACCCTCCGCACCTGAAGAACAGGGATTTTGTTTTTTCGCTGTTCCCAGGGTTGCACCTAGCAGGTAGTGGTAAGTAGCAAACAGTGTAGACTGAATGAACGAGTAGACAGAAATGCCATAGATCTTAGAGGAATTAATTCAGTGATGTTATTTTTACAATTTGATACATTCTTTTTCCATTTAATTCCTTCTCTGGAATTGAATGGTTGCTGACTCGCCACTTAATGCCTTTCCCCTGTAAGCATGGTTCCCTGTACTGTGGCCAGGGTCCGTAGGCATTAGTGAGGTGCAGACAGAATTCATTTAGTAAGATATTAGTCATTAGACTCGACCACTTGACACTTGACGTTTCCTCAGTGCTCTATTTTCTCCTCGATAACAATCTCCCAAAGACCTTTTTCAGGAACTCCAGAGAAGGATAGTTGATTCTCTACTTGACCCATTCGCTCGTTTCTTTACCACTTGACGAAGTCTTCAGTGCTCTCTCCATCCTGCCGGAGCCCTTGGTCCTGCTGATTTTGGGGTGAACCAGACTTGGCAGGGAAGGGCTGTGGATGGCCATGTTGTTGCAGAGGATGCCCAGGGGGCCCCAGAAGGAAGGGAAGGGAAAAATAAATTTAAAAAAGGAAGGAAGGGCTTGTCCGTCCTGCATTGCTTCAAGGGGAAAGCATGGGCAGAGGAGGAGGGCAGGGGGGCAGGCCTTCTAGCCCCGGGGATTTGTGTGGGCAACAGCGCACAGAGAGGGAGAAAGGAAAGCGCCTTAGGACGGAGGATAGGAGGGTCAGGGCGTCGGCCTGGGGAGGGCTGGCAGACAGGCGCACTGGGCCAGTCCAGGGGGAAGCGGTCTTTCCAGGTGTGGATTTCACTACTCGTTGCTTCTTCAGTTACAATCAGAGTTTCTGCCATCGCAGTTTATGTCAGGTTCTTCATGTTTTCACACTTGGGGACCATCACTTTTTAGATACAGTTTTTAGTATTTTTGTTGTAAATAGTCAACAATCCGTATAGTATTTCTTTGATTAAGACCATCTAATGTTTGCAGGGGGTTTAATCAACTAAAGCCATTTAAAGTCATTGCCTTTTTAGGACCAAGTACAACTGACTTTTATCCCATATTATTTTCGAATGTTCTGAAAAATGGAGACAAAAGATAATGGAGCTTTTAATCTGTGACCCTGGAATTTTCATTATTGAGCACGGGGCTTTTTTGTTTTGGGATTCTTGCTACTGCAAACGTGGATTTGGACAGTACTGGCTAAAAGAAGCAAGGGCTCATTAGGAGGATGGTCCTCTTCGGTAATAACAACGTTAAACAGCACTGCGGGGGGAGCTTCGCGTGGAGGGCGAATGTTTTTAGGAGGAAGTCCTCGGGGCTTCCACGTCCCTCGTTCTCCACCAGATGGAGCCTGGCAGCCTGGGTGGGAAGTCTGATGGGATTCTGCCTCTGACGCCCAGTTCTGTACATGTGTGTGTCCGTGTAGGAGGCTGAACTTGGAAATCTTGATTTTGTGGATTAGGGAGTGTTGGTTCTCCGGGATTGATGTCT